GACCCCGACTCCCGGGCCCGAGACCCCAGCGCCGACTCCCGGGCCCGAGACTCCAACCGGCGGCTACACCGGCTTCTGCGCGACAACCTGGGCCGAATCCAACCCGGGTCCGGCGGCGTGCATCCCTTGCGACGCGGCAACGGCGCCCTGCGCCGACGGCAGCGACTGCTGGGGCGCCACGTTTTGCAAAGGCGATGTTTTATGCGGCGACCCGTCCGACAGCGACTGCGCCATCGGGAGCGAGCAGACCCCACCGACAGCTCTGCCACCCCCGCCTGCGCCCCTCGACCCCGCGGCAGTCCTGTCCGGCAAGCGCCTCGTCGCTTATGTTCCAAACTGGAAGGAGTGCCCCTCGGCGGAGCAACTGCAGCACTACACGCATGCGCTGGTCGCATTTGCAGTCACCTATCCGGCGTGGCGGCCAGCCGGGCAAGACACGTGCGAGACCGACCGGACGTGCACAGTGCAAGGCGTGCCTGGCTGTGGCGGCAAGTCGCTCGTTGAGATGGTGGGCGACCTGCAGAGCGTGGGCGTCAAGGTGATCCTCTCCTTCGGCGGCGCTTCGATGGGCGGCGTGTGGGAGGCGAAGGGTGATCCTGGCTCAAACTCGTGCTGGGAGCATTGCCTCGACAAGGTGGACGCCCTCGTCTCGCAGCTGGCTGCCATTGTCCTCGCGTCGGGAGCGGACGGCATCGATGTCGACTACGAGTACTACCTCGACGAGGCAAAGTACCGCGAGTTCCTGGCGGCCCTCACGAGCGGGCTGCGCACCGCGCTCCCTAGCCCCTTCCTGCTCACGCACGCCCCGATGGACCCTGACCTATGCACGACGAGCATCCACCCAGGCTGCCGTGAGGAGTATCTCAACATTCTCGCGGGACAGAGCGAGATGATCGACTTCATCATGCCGCAATATTACAATGGCTGGCAGCGACCCTCCACCAACTTTACCGGCGCGCTTCAGCACTTTAGCGCCTTGGCGTCGACCGCCTTTGGCGGCGACGCCTCCAAGGTGGTGTTTGGCTTTTGCGTCAGCGACTGCACAGGCTTC